GAACTGGTAAAAGATGGAAAGGAAAAGATGTACACAACCTCAACACCATTGGTATGCGTTCGTTTGTAATTTGATAGAGAACGATTTTTTTGACGCTCTCCTATGTAATTTAAAGTATTTTAAAGTAAGGTAGGATGAAATAATTCAGCCGTCACGTGTCATTTTTTATTTCCATTTGAAAGGCAGTTTGGAAAGATAAGCACAATGAAGTAACTTAAAACGTAAGCAGATAGTCATATTGTTAATAAAAGGTCATTGTGAAAGATAAAGTAAATTTAATTGAGGTATCTAACTCACCCTTCGTCCTGCCCTGTTGTTGTGCAGATTCATCAGTCCTTCCGCTGTCTTCTCATCTTCTCCAGAATCAACAAAATCTCTGCTGAACTTCGAACCGAACCCAATATCGTCTGAACAGCCTCCCCAAGCCCAGCGTCCTCTGGTGTCACGCTGTCGTATTCGATTATCGCAGCCACATACTGCGAGTTCTCCTTTGCTGCAACTTCGTGTAATGCTATAGGCCACGCCTGCTGATGAGATAGCATGAACGTAGGCCTTTTCTCGGCTTTCTGTGTAAATAATGAATCATTTTGTAAGTTAGTGACAAAATGGATTTTTTTTTCGATTCAAGTTGAAAGTTGGTTTCATGGGGAACAAAAACTTAATTTATTATTTTAGCCACTGTTTACCTGCGTTGTTACCTGCTAATTATCACTTGATTTGAGCAATTGTGGTTATGATGTAATATAAGTTTAAAAAATTGTGTTCAGAAGATGTAAATATATATTAGTCTAGAGCTTTTACTTCACATTGGGTCATTAGCTACATTTTCACAATTTTATTAAAATAACATGATGTCGGAATCAGTAAATTTATTATGAGTAGTGAATGGCTTTCACGCAAAATTTAAGATTTCAGACAAACAAACTATTTTGATATCATAGTTTCTCCAGACTGAAAGAAAACGCTTGTGTTTGCAGTTAACATTATGTATTGTGTGTGTTTAAAACTATACAGATTTGTTTTGCTGTTGTTTTTTTAAATAAGTACTCATGGAAAGACTTCCGTGTGGATTATATCAGATATTTAAAGTAACATATTTTAATTTGCCAGTACAGCTTCCTTGAAATTGTATACAGTGAACATTTAGTGTTTTTGTGTTAGTTAAGAAACTTCGGGGATGAATAACTGCTAAATGCATTCTAGGGATATTTATATATTGCAAAATCGTTTGATTTCTGGCGTAGGCATAGCGTTATCACCACCACTTGTGGGCCCGTTTTCAAAATTACTTTAGGTGTGACGTATAATGCCCTTTTTAATGTTGTTTCTTTATCGTGTTTAGGGTTTACTAAAGTGGTTACAAGTTCTCTATAGTCACGTAACAAATTTTTACCGTAATATTCAACTTACTAACAGCTAAAATTCCGCCAAAAACTGACGTGTCATTGAAAGTTGTACAATTCCATCGACTCATCTGGAACTGGTATTGACATTCTTCAATTCCCATCTTGGCACCCAGGCCCACGCTGTGCAGGATGTTGTAGCTAAGGTTACATAGTTCCCTTTGACGCTTCACGAGATAATACAATTCTTTGCATCGATTTCCGTAAGATGTTGGATTTAGCTCCAGCACGTTCTGGTAAGAGCTAGGCATGCCCAGAAGCCTGGATAAAAAGAGCATGGATTAACATGTATGCAAATAGAGTTGCAGTGTAATTTTCAACAGTTGTGGAAAGAAGAGTCTTGTATGCATTTACGTGTTTGTAGCCTAGGGTAAGAATATACTAGGGTGTTCACTCTCTTCTTAGGGGGAAGAACAACGTGTACATGATCCGGCTACTGATTTGGCTTAGGGGACAAACACGAAAATGTTTGGGGTAACTAAATGCTTGGGAAGGGGGAAGAAAAAGGTTTAGTTTATTATGAATTTCGCGCAAAACTACACGAGGGCTAACTGTAAAACTAGAGGAAAAGCAGCTAGTCATCACCACTCACCGCCAACTCTTCGGCTGCTCTTTTACCAACGAATAGTGGGATTGACCGTCACTTTATAACACCCCCACGGCTGAAAGGGTGAGCATGTTTGGTGGGACGGGGATTCGAACCCGCGACCCTCAGATTGCGAGTCGAGTACCCTAACCATCTGGCCATGGAAGAAAAAAGAAATGTATATGTTCATACTATTAATTTGGGTTGGAGAAAAAAGAATACATAGATGTCCATACTACTGGTTTTGTCTTGAACCACAGAGGCATCATATTAACAGTGTTGGAGAATGATTAGTAATAAAGGGGGTGAAGATCTAAAGGTGATTACTGTTAATAAGTTATGACATAGCTAAAAGTTAACCGAGTAAATAATGTAGCTCATTTAATACTTAAACATCTTGGTTGTTATAAGTGACAATTCTTCATATATCTAAATATATTTAACACCATAAATGATACCTTAAAAACAAAGAATAATCGAAACTTATATTATTTTAGGTATGGAAAGCCAAAACCTCTGTTATAAAATAATATTAGTCATCAATCTCGGTTCACTTTTATGCAAACCAGACATCGAATGATCCGACATATGGTCGCATATGAAAATCATTGGCCATGCAGTATACTCTGTAAATGAACAGTCACTAAAAGTGACTTGACATGCACTTCAATGTGGAAGTTGATGGTTAAGAACAGCAAAGATAGCCTGGTCACCATGTTGTATTTTTGCAATTGGGATATCGCTAAAGTCCTGATTCATCCTCAGAAACGTTTCTAGGAGACCTTTAATGTGTGTAAATAATTGACGTGATGCGACATGTCTCCAAAGGATCCCATAAATGCTCAATGGGATTGAACTCCAGAAAGCGTGAAAGTTACTCAATTCAGCCAATCTCCTACCATTTAAGGAATGTGTCAACCATTTTTTTAAGATAGGGTAGGGTGTTATCACCCACTAGGTTGTACTATAATAAGGGGCAACTGTGCCAGCGTATGACAGCATAAGGCATAAGATGTGGTACCTATAACCAAGTCTTCAAGTAGGTAAAATTTTCATAGGAATTCTATAAAATCCTCAAAACGTTTTTCTTTTCCTATAAAAAATCCATTGAGTTTGAAAGAAATCATTGTAAATTCCTAAATATTTGGAACTAACTGGTAACATGGTTTTCTTCTTCTAAGAACCTGTTGAGGTATATTAAAATACTCAACGATCAACGTTATATCATATGGAATTAAATTTTATATTAAAAAAAGGTCAACGGTCGTAAAAAGGGACCCTACATGATTCGACGTCGTTCACGTCATCCTCTCAGTTCCTTTTTTATGACCGTTTATCGTTGTTTTTTGATAAACGTTTAATTGTATATTATATAATGTTTATCGTTGTGTATTTTAATATATTTTAAATATTTATACAAGTATCCTTGACTTTTATCCAAACTGTTGAGGTTTCATCTTGATGTACCTACCCGAATCAAGACATGCAGTGGTTTACCACTTTGGCAGGTTATAAGAAAACATACAGGTGTGTGATAGCTTTTTCTCAATAAAGATTAATTGAGGGAACGTTTATGTTCATTTCATCTTTTTTAATACTCATTGATAAAAGCTAATGTCATTTTATTGTCTAATTTTATAATAATTATGACATATAATGTTATCCCTCCCTATTATCATGTCACTAACTCCTGTCTAGGCCCCCCAGTGGCACAGCGGTATGTCTGCGGACTTACAACGCTAGAAACCGGGTTTCGATACCCGTGGTGGGCAGAGCACAGATAGCTTATTGCGTAGCTTTGTGCTTAACTTCAAACAAACTCCTGTCTACATGTTGAATACAGTAGTGATAAAATTAATATTGAAATGTGTGAATTTCTAATTCCATAAAAAAAAGGATTTGAACGAATAAGGAATTTGTAGGCAAATTTCTAATGTTTCAAACAAACTACCTACTGGTCGAAATACTAAGATGGAAATGGATAAGCTAGAATGAAAGTAGCTTGAATTTTTAAATATTTGAGATTAGCCTGTTCGATCAACATCGCACATTACATGCTTGTAAGTTCCTGTAATTTTTTATCAATGTTTTTGGAAGCGATTGCCCTACACTTTAATACAAAATCATTTGAAATCATGAACAACAGTGTGACATTGGTGGTACCATTCCTTGAGGAAAGAATTCAGCATACCCAATACTGCTTATTCCTGGCCACATCGTGTATCTACCATCGCCATGAAAATGGAGCGGAATATAGTTCCAGCTTCTCTCCAAATGTTATCTGACAACAGAGCCATATTCGACTTACCTATAAAAACAATAGTTTCCAAATATCATTGGTCTACAAGACCAGTTCTTAGCACTGTTGCAGGTGACGTGTTTTGGGCCTTGCTGTGATAGGAATACATCTTAATGAGCGTGTGGCAAACAGATCGATCTCGTAAAGTCTGTTTCTAAATGGCTGTAAGCTGGTACAGCGTCCGATTACGAGTGCTGGGATCTGATTAAGTGTCAGGCACTCTGCAACTACAGTGGTCTAGGACTGACAGGTCTCCAGCCTATGTTGTAAATTATAATCTGCCTTGTTCAGGTATTCGAACAATTATACCATTAGTTTGGAAGCGGTTTTACATTGTACTGAAGACACTTGTAGCCAAGTGACAACAACCTGTTATGATTGGCCATCTTCCATTTGCCAGGTCGCTCACCACGTGTTAAAAATCTATAGGATTTCTTTGAGGTCCACCATTTGTTTATAAACAACTTAGGGCACTTCTAAGTGACAATTAAGACATAGTTGTGTGCGTCCTTTAAACATAGAATAAACCAATGAACACTCATTTACATATGACATCATATCACATAGTTCGTTGTTATGCCAATTAGGTGAGAAGGATGATTGACATTATTTTATAACACTCTGTCTTGCCACTGTTTTAACGTTACAGATCTCGATTAATCTGTCTTTCGTTTTAAGAAGCATTATTACGATAAACGTCGGAAAACTGCGTTGAGTATGAATATGTAATACACACACACTCACGCACACACACACAAACACACACACATATACATAATATGTGTATAATGAAAATTTCACCTCTCAAATATAAACAGTATTTTTTGTACGACCTCAAAGAGTTGAAATATAATATTTAAAAATCAAGTTAGTGCAAAGTTTGTTTGTTCTTAAGTACAAAGCTGCACAATGAACTATCTGTATTGTGCCCATCATGGGTGTCGAAACCCGATTTATAGCATCATAAACGTGTAGACGTAGCGCTGAGCCACTGGAAGAGTAGTAATAAATTAAAATATTACTTTTGCCAAGGTTGTTAGATTTTCCCATCGCGCTTAACAGAGCGTTATGTTATCATCAGAGAATGTGTGAAATGTTTATTTTTAAACTTCGCTTAACCTTAATGTCAATTAGCGTTTTCATGTAATGTTTTATTCTTATCATTCAGCTTAGAGAAAAAAATAATAATTTATAACTTAAACGAATGTTTGTCTTGCTTTTTTTCAATATCCTTTTTGTCCTGTTCTCCCAGACTACTAGAATATGTGTTAGAAAATTCATGTAAACAAACAAAAAAAAAATACTTCTTAAGTACTGAAAACTACGGTTTCCAAATGTAACATTTCGCCTAGCCATATTAGCATTTATGTAAATATGTATGATGATATATCTGTTCTTAGGCGTCGACCAGATGATCTTAGAAAAAAGGAAGAAATGGAGAAATAGTTTAAGGAATGATTAGTATGCCTCTAGTTCTGCTAAGCGATTCAAATTAACATCGCTCTGCTTATTTAACATTAGGGTTAGGGTTAACAAGCATCCGTATATTTTTTTTTCTTCTTGTTATCGTGATTGATATACACCAGAGCTGTTTAAAACTGCTGGATAAACAAAATAGGCCGCTGTCTGCAGTTGTAGCTCATGTCGTCGTTGTGTAAACTACTGATGATAGAAACGTAGAATAAATGAGTTCAAAAGTTTAAAAGAAAATGTAAAATATTTCATCCTACGCGTGCTTCGTGGTTCGCAGTCACCCAATACTGTTTTTATTATATCCACTTCCGGAAGACTAAGCAAAGAAATGGTGGGTTTAGTGATATGTAATATGTGATTTGATACTAATACGTAATTTTTATGGAATGTATTTTACTTTACTATACTGCTTATATACGTTTCTTTTTAAGTTATTTACTGTCAAACATAATTGCTACACTTTTTATGAGAGAGAAAGGTCAAACCTGGCAAATTACCCGTGTAATACTACCCTGAGGCACCCTGTATATAAAGTATCAAACGCATACGAGTTACTCGTATTGAATCACTAATCCTCTTGTCTAGGTTGTCAAAATAAATTAGGGTAGGAACTTTTGAGTATAGTACCAGCATTCAATGCTAAATCTGTCTTAGCTTTTTATGTGAACTGGACTGGTTTAACCATATTAAGGAACTTAGTTACTGATTTCCTAGTGATGTATCTAACCTGAGTATTTAAAAGGTTACTATAAAAATGATTTTAACTGTACTAAAACTGTAATTATAATAATTTGCTCAACAAAACAGCTCCTCTTATAAGATCGCACTTTACGTAATAATTACGGTATATTTCTCTTTAAAATAGGGCTGAAAGTAATTTAAAGATACACATTATTTTACTGA